TGGTAGTAGTGGTAGTAGTGGTAGTAGTGGTAGTCGTGGTAGTAGTAGTAGTAGTGGTGGTAGTAGTAGTAGTAGTAGTGGTAGTAGCAGTAGTAGTAGTCGTGGTGGTGGTGGTGGTAGTAGTAGTAGTGGCAGGGACAGAAGCAATTAGGAGTTTTTTCCCTCCCACTTAGCTTGGACGAGCCCGCATTGCAGGGTATGCTCCGATATGCCTGACACGCAATACTAGCTTAGGGCTCCAGCGACCTCATATTGAAGGCAAGGACCACGCCAGCATGATTAAAAGGCCAGGACTTAGGAGTAGGAGCAGCGGTTTTAGCAGTACGTAGTAGTAATCATCGTTTTCCTTCTCTTCGCTTTTTTTCGCATGGGGCATGCTCCCGGTGTTGGGTGCTCGCCATTTACTGTCGTCTCTTCTCTCTCTCTCTCTCTCTCTCTCTCTCTCTCTCTCTCTCTACCGGGTAAGGAGGCTCTTCTTCTTCTTCCCCAGAGCATAAGGGGCGTGTCAGGCCCCCCGGCCTATTGGCCCCCCATATGTTCTGGGGAGGCTCTTCTCTTCTTCTTCCTTCCACACAGTCAGAAGAGGAGCACGGACGCACTCCCCTCCGCGCGCGAGCGCGCCCTGCTTGTCTCCAGTCTGAACGTACGCTACTCGATGAGGCCCGAGGGAGAGAACTGTTGTCCCCCTTAAAACCCCCGAACACTAGCAGATCCCCCAGGCCTTATCATCCACGAAGGTCGCCGGCTCTGTGCTGCAGGCTTGCTGTAAAGTCTACAACCCTTTGCAGCACGGTGGTCCCCCCTTGAGTTACGAACAGCAGCAAACGTATCAGTAAAAGCACGAAGAAGACTGAGGCGGGGACCAGGTCATAAGTTGTGGAGCACAAGTTGGGTGGGGGTTCGAAGAAAAACATGCAAGCCCTCGTGCGACTGTAGACACAGAGGGCTAAAGTAAAGGACTTCGCGGAAGGACCTGGTCTAATTACAACCTCTTTCCCCCTGAATTCACCAGCATTTCCTGGTAACCCCTGTCGTCGGAGCGTTTTGAAAAGAATCGGGGATTGGTGCCGCGGTTAAGGCGAAAGGCTACGGTCGTCTATCTTGGGGAGGCCTTTCGGCCCATGGGTAACAACTCAGCTCATGCGGTAGTATTGCCCACTCAGTTGTGCTTCTCCCTACGAAGTTCTCAGCCCTGCTAAGCGTTTGTTCACCTCAATGTCCTTCGTATCACACCCCTGTTCCATCCAAGGTGGTCGGCATGCGCGGCCTTCCTGCCATTTTCACGAACCTCCCTCACGGTCTTCAGCCTCCCAACGTACTTCTTTGGTGTCGACGTCTCCGCGCGGTAGGGTTGGGGGTTGTGGAAGAACGGCGTCTTGCCCCCGTCGCCCTCGAACGTGTTCACGATGTACCCCTTGGACTGCGTGATCTTCCCCAGTTCCCAATGAGGGAGCATGTGTGCCCCCCTACTACCGGGCCTCCCCACTTCATGGGGGCCGGGTTCAAGGGGACTTGCTGAAGACGCGGGCAAAGGCATGCACCTCCGAGGACTTACAACTTAACGCAGGGGCTGCCTCGGACGCGTCCTTAAGCACAATGTTGCGGTGGGAGACTCAAGCACCGCTGGAGCGAACCCCCCAAGTCCGCCCCTCAAGGCTCACTTGGGAAGGCTCACCCCCCGATGCAGGGAGGAGGCACAGTCCCCCCCAGCAACGGTGCAGCACTTCTTTCTTTCTGCAGGGCGTAGGGGTCGGTGTTCCGACCCTCAGGCCTTAGGCCCGCCCCACCACCCATTGGGTTATTGAGTGGTAGGCTTTGGGGCCCCTCTGACCGTTGCAACGGTGCAGCACTCTCTCCCTCTCTCTCTCTCTCTCTCTCTCTCTCTCTCTTCCTTCCACACAGTCAAGAGCACTCTCTCTCTCTCTCTACCAGGCTTGGGGGTCAGGGTGTGTCCAACCCTTCCCCCCGCACGCGCACACGCACCTGCGGGTCCCGGCAGGTTTTGACGGTGCAGCACTCTCTCTCTCTCTCTCTTTCTTTCTTTCGCCAGGGCTAGGGTGGGAGGGCCCAGGGTCGTAAGAATCTCTCTCTCTCTCTCTATCATTCTCTATCTGCCTCTCCGTTCTGATCCTTCTGCCGCAGACTAAGATAGACTAAGAGCCCGCAGGCAAGTGCTTCTTCCACCCACCTCGCACGCAAGCGAACACCTCTCTCTCCGTCTAGCTCTCTCTCCCTCTCTGGCGCTGCATCCGAACGGAGAGCAGTAGTAGGCAGTTATACGACGTGCTCGTATGTCCTGGACCCGAAGTTAGCCATGTGCAATGCACTACAACCATCAAAAGAATTCGGGGCTTGAAGTGGGACCAACCCGGCCGGTCTGGGCATCCATGTAGATCAAAACGGCCAGGAAACGAGAGAAAGCTCTGGAGCAATGAGCCTTTAGCCAGTGACGGCGAAAAGTGCATCTCTGCTCGAGATCATTCTGAAAGGAACACGGCCCATTTATTCACCAGGCGGGCCTGGGAAGCTTCAGCTGTGAGGCCAAAACCAATCCTCGGCTCACCGCACAAGAATCGCAGGGGTTGTAAGTCCTCAGGAGGGCCCCACCCACAGCATCCAGACTTCGACATCGCATGCGTGCTTCGCACACAGAGTCGTAGCAAGAAAGTCGTTCAGGCATGAGTGTGTTTTGCAAACATACTTGCACTTCCGGGCAGTGGTGCAGGGACGGGTGGGGACCGGCGCCAAGAACACTCAGGCCAAGTACCATCCAAAGCTTGCACAGAGGTCTTGGATGTCCGCACCCAAACGCACATGGTGAGGTATGGTTACCGAGATAACGCTGGGTTCAGGAAGGACAACGACATGGATTTAGGAGCATGGGGCTCCCGACTCCAAAGGTTGTCAGTTTTCTTGTCGTCTCGATGTCACTCCCTCGGCTAGTCCTCGATTCCCAAGACAAGACAACCCACATGCAGATGGAAATAGCTTTCTGCTAGAACTCAAGGATTTGTGCAACAAGGCCATAGTTAAGCTTTGCAATAAAACAAGGAACTCATGGTCACTTAGATGACTCTCTGCCTGACAAGTGTCCCAAAGCTGAAAGCATCTTGGTCCTTCCCACGGCGCGGCATCAAGGCTCTTGCGACTCTTGCACGAGGGGGGAGGGAGAGGAGGGGAGGGGAGGGTTCCTGGGAGATTACACAGACAAGCAGACGACGGACAAACGCAAAGCATACGGAGATCAATTTCCCTGCCTCACAGTTTCCAAAGCACTCTTCGAGTGTGTTTGCGCCATGAAAAGCTTGCGCGGACGGACTCGCTGATGGCCATCCTCAGATGCAGTAGTATCTAGTCCCGTCAAAAAGGAACAATTAAGCACAGTCAGGCTGAAACTTCTGCTCTGAAGCCTCAGTGGGTGGTAAAACCGACAGCAGAGCAGCAAGAACTTCTTCACTCGAGAAAAAATGCCAGAGCCAGATACCAACTGCACCCAAACAAGAAGAAAAAGTCTGCGGAATGCAAGGCCGAGATTCTCCTCTGCCTTGCGCCCGCTTGAATCCTTTGCCATAGCATCTGCTCCACATTGCAGCAACAAACTTACGATGCGGGGCCGGTCCTGTGCCGCTGCCATATGCAGCGGATAGGTATAACCAAGTTCCCACCGAGTGCGTTTCTTGCAGTTGACGTCTCGCACGTTGAAGCCATTGATGGCCAAAAACTCAATAAGCTCTGACCGTGCATGAACCCGTTTTGTGCGGAGTTGCGCAATAACTTTTTCGATTTTGTGATTGCGACGGGGACCAGCACGATGACGACCGTCTTGAGTGTCTTTGGAGCTATGTGTTTCCACACTTGGGAAGGATGGCGAATCCATGAACGCCAGATCCTCGGGCTGCTTGGGATGACCACCCTATTATAAAGTCGATGGAACTACGCCTTGTACCCCCGCCTCATCTGAAAGCGACACCAACATCTGTTGGCAACGGCATCCAGTATCCTCTGCGTCCACCTCATGTTCTAGACGCTGCCGTCTCTCGAGCTCAGCATGCTTCACAAAGCGCTTTACATGATCTCTGGCACACAGCACGAATCATGAAGTCATCGAAAACGGATTTCTGTACATGCCAAGCCTCTTCAGCTACACTCTCCTCCTCTGCAAATGTAGGTGTCATATCGCAGGAGAAGGCCACTTCAAGCATCCACGTCACAGGGATCATTGCACAAATCGTGGGACTGTGGGACTTTAGAAAGCTTATTCAGCCCTCAACCCGGCTGGCCGACCAATGTTCCGAGCCGACAGCAGCAGAGAGGCGAGCGAAGGCATGCCATCTCTAAGACTCTAAGGCTTCACGAAGCTCTGCTCCCACTTAAACCCCGGAGCACAGAGCTGGTGATTCTGAGTATTCAAGCACTGGACTGCTCAGAGAGTGTACCCTTAACCAGTCCTGCATATCACCCGCTGGCTGACTGGACCTTATGAGAGTCTTCACGACACAGTCCCTCGAAAGGTGCGACTTTGCTTGAGCATAGGTGCCTCCACTATGGCTACATGCACTCATGTGAGAAAGGCGTGCCGGCGATTCAGGCTGAATCACTTCCAAGTTGCGGTAGCGGTCTCGATTGAAGCTCTGCCTTCATCGATTCCAGCTCTGCCTTCACCTGGATTTCGAACGCGTTGAAAACGCATGCTACAGCTGACCTGGCCTTTGCACACGGTCCACCGATCGTATGCAGCCATGCACTCCAACATAGCTGTGCGCAGCATTGGCCACCCCCGCGCCCCCAAATCTGGTAAAATGGCAAAACAACCTGCAAATAAACACTGCATGCATTCTCTGCTGCCGGGGCGCTCTAGAGAGCTCGTCCTTCCGAAAATTGAAAGAGAAGCCAGCTACTTCAAATGCTTCGGAAGTTCTGAACAGTCCACTGACCACTCCAACATCGGATGAGGTGTGGTCGGCACAGGTGTTTCTGCAAACTGTGACAAGATCCTCCAATGGGGAGTTGCCATTCGTCTTTTGATCCTGTGGCGCTAGCTTGCCGCAAAGTTTGTGAACAAAATAGGTTGAAGGGCAGAAGTGACATGACGGCTATCAGGAGCCAGAAGGCTTAAAGCCATGCGTTTAGCTTCCAATAGACAGCTGCTGGTCAAACTTCGGGATTTGCGGCATGCGGCGATGACATTGGGGCATAGATTGTGAGTAACTACAATGTATCGGTCACAAGGGGAGAGGTCCAGCCTGTCGCTGTTCCTCCATCTCCGGGCTTCCACTTTCTGGGCCCTGCCACAAATGCATCAACACCTAGTACCAGTACATGGACGGGCCATGACATCCACGCCTGCCCAAACACTTAGTAGTGCTGGCCATACGCACAACATGATACAAGCGCTTCTTCCTAGCATTGCGAGCTCCCAGCCTCGTGGGCGCCCGCTGGCCCGGCATTCTGCCTTGACATTCTGGGCCCGCGGCATATATTCAGCAGCTGTAACGTAATTACTTGCAATCCAGCATGCTGCAATTTGCAATCAGCGCATCGTCTCCTAAAGTTTATCATGCAAGTGCGGCTCATCAGGGCCGTCCGGTTGGGCACCAAAACTCACACGATTAGAAAGCGAAAGAAGTAACCTGGGCCTTGTGCTGGTGCTGAACCGCAGTTTACCCCTTGCTGGCCCTTTCCACGACCGACATGGGCCTGGTTGGACATCGGCTTGCTCACTGCACATGTCACCAGCTAAAGGAGATCACCACCACGAGCCTCAGAATCAGTGCAAAAAGCCGGCAAACTCAGGTGGCTGCAATCTTTCCAACAAGGACTGGTTCTCCTTCGTGAGCTCCTGTCCACAGCTTTACTTTCTGCCGCTCGAACCCACAAGGCTTGATCTTTTCAAGGCTCCTGAACTTTGATAAACTGCTCCTCCAGCACCTGCCAATCGAGTCATAAAGCCAGGGCAATCACAAACTGTTTCTGAATAAAGAGGGCAGACCAACGACACTGCGCATGGCTTCCGGACCTTGTTCTTCTCCTCCATGGCCATCTCGAAGTGCTCGAAGTGAGGTTCCTTCCTGGGCTTCATAATCGCTGCCCATTGTCATTCTGCCAGTGCCAGACGCCTAAACTCTGCCTTGCAGGGTCCTACACCTACACCTAGATCTCGAATCCCATTTTCTCTTCTTGCTGCTTGTGCCAAGCGACTCCAGGGCATCCCGATACGCTTCGATCTTGGCCTCTTTAAGAGGCCCGGCTTTTGAGGTATCGATGACCTGTGGGGCAAAGGCCAACACCCCGCCTTTAGCTCCGCAATCTCTTCATCCCTGTCCAGGATCTCCTGCTGCAAGTCCTGCAGGCACTTGGAAAGGGAAGGTTGCCCTGCTTTCAGACGTCTCCTCCTTTCCTTTTTGTGCTGAAAGTGATCCTTTGCTAACTGCTGAAGGCCTCAGCGCCAGTCTTGCTTAAACTTTATTTAGGAACGGTCCTCAACGCCAGCTTCGCTTTGCCTTGGAGTGACGCGAGCAGTGAACACAACAGAAAGCTCCGACACTTCGAACTGAGGCCAACACCCCGACGAGCCGCTGCCCCCAAACAAGAACATGGGCTCTGCAGGCCTCGCGCAAGACCCAGCTGTAAGAGAGCAGTTCCTGGACCCAGAATCCTGTTCGCAGCTCATGGGGCCTTGCCTGCTGTACCCTTTTCGATGGTTATCGGACCCGCCTTCTCCTTCTGCATCTCGATTTTTCACACGGGACTCGACTGCTGCCCTTACTGCCCAGCTCGACCCACAACCCAGTACTCATGACTGCAAAAGAAAACGTGAGACTGGCCACTTCGCGGCTCCATCTCTATCTCCAACGGTTAACTCCACACAAGCCAGCCTCCACAAATGTGGCCGAGACAATGCAGTTGGGAAAGTTCATCGGTTGTGTGAACAGAACCGAAACGCTGCGATGGTGTTCTTCTTCCATGACAAAGACACAGAGAGAGAGAGAGGGCAAGAAAAAGAAAGAATGAAAGAAAGAGAAGGAGACAGAGAAAGAGAAAGAGAAAAAGAGAGGGGAACGCAAAGGACCGAGATACTGAACGCTGAAGAGAGCAAGTGAGACGGCACCTGTGGTTGTGAATGTGAGCCATCCAATCGTACCTTCTTTCAGTCCAGCACCCTATCCATGCAGCTCTGAAGACTCGATCAATCGCACAAGTCAGCAGGTCTGAAGGGAGCTTCTTGGTATGAGACGCCAAATTCTGTCGTCATTCGTGTTGCTAGTCTTTTCCAACCTTGATGCTGTTTTGTTCTTCGTGGTACCTAGGCGCTACGACGCTACAACATTGAGGAACTTTAAGGCTGGGCGGCCTTTGGGGGTTTCCACACCACGCGGCAGTCGTGGAGAGGCGACGTGTTCTTGGATGCCACTCCCTCATGCGAGTATTGCTACAGTGTAGCCCCTCCCTGAGACGCAAGACTCGAAGATGCCCTGCGCGATCATGCTCTGAAGCGTCCTCTCGTGCGAGCCGCACCCAATCGAAAAGGGCCCAATCAACAAAATTAAAAAATACGGCTTCATGCTTGACCTACCTGCAAGCTCGAACTGCATCACATCTCATGGCTCCTCCGGCCACTGTCAGGACTTGTTCAGCTCATATCAGATGGCACATGAGATTGCACAGGAGTGCTGACGTGATCTAGCTCGTGCCGGAGGAGAAACGAAATCCCCACAAACCAAGATTGCAAAGGCCTGAAGTCAGCACTCTGTGCCTCGGCGCACAGAAAGTCTAGCTGCAGTCGGGGTCATGGAAAGCATCGGGCTTTTGTGCAAGTTGGGCTTGTCGTTCAGTCAAGCTGCCGTTCCACCCCACCAGAGTGTCTCTCGTGGCTCCAGTTTCACATTTCACACGGATGCTCGCAGAAATAATCCAACGATCGATCAAACCCTAGTGCAAAACCCACAAATGTTTTTGTTCGGCTAATGTCTGGTCGAGGAGCCCCCTGTGGCAGCTCATCGTGATCCCCTCCGCTCCGTGGGCTCGACGTGGAGGTAGATGGGCCTCGAACTGCCGAGCCACGGGGACAACATGGGAGAAATACAACATCAGGGAAGCCGTTGAAAAAGGAATTTCAGAGAGTCATGCCAAGCCAGCTTGGCAACATAGAAAAAGGGAACGACAGGCCGTGACCGGCTTATGTCCGCGCGGCTTTTGTGAAAGCAGCTTTGCATAAAGCCCATGGTTGAGCTTGCACGGTGAGTTCTTAAATCTGTTCTAAAACGTGTGTCATCCATAAGCCTCTGCCCAAGACAACTCGGGAACAAAGTTACCCTTGGGATTGGAAGGCTGCATGAGAGAACGAACGCAACTGAAAGAAAAAGAGCGGGCAGCATGGACTCTACACTTACCCTCATGACCTCAACGCGAGTTTCTCCTCGAGCACGGAAAGACACAAGCGCAGTCACCGCGACCCGATAATGGCAACGATGTGCAAAGCAGAAACTCAAGTACCCATACTATGCAAAGTTAAAGGCGCAGGCGAGACTTGATCCGCCTTTCACGGCGCCAGTTTTCCTTGCTGCAGCCGAGCAGCGATCTCGCGCAGCCCTGGCTTCAGTCGGGCCACGCACCTCGTCGAAGGCCGGCTGCTGTCGCGTCGCAAGAAACTAAAAGGCGGTGCATCCCCTGAGTTCGCAGCCCGGGACGTGCCACCTGTGTTTGCAACTTCGGGTGAGGGCATTGCCAAGTTTCATGGACGGCAATGGCATTGGCAGGACGACGCTGGTCACAAATGTCCCCAGAGCTTCATCCAGGCCGAGGCAGCTGCTGCGGAAAGTGTCCTCCGCGGGCATGTCCATGAACCGCCTTCGCAACTTCAAGCTGTGGGAGGGCGGGAGCACACTTGGTCTGCGGAGATGCTAACTGCTAACATCATTTCAGAAGGGCGCTTTCACGGCATGTTGCCCCTGTGTGCCATCGCCACGTATCACCCGGCAGCTCGGCCAGGGCCCAACAATCGTGCAACTTGCCTATATACTGGACTGGACCGGATTTGGACTTGTCAGATGACTTCTCTCTTTATCTTGCTGGCGGAAGGGCAGCGACTCCGCGCTCGCGTGAGCGCTCCCTGTTCCACGGGACTTGGAAAACTGTCGAGATCCCTCCTCTCGCTCTCTTGCTTGCAGCTTGCTTGCATGAGGTATGGGAGCCTAAACCCCCTGGCCCGTAGGCCTACCTCCCCGAGGGTCGCGCCTTGCTTGCTTGCTTGCTTGCTTGGGGTGAACTCCTGAGGGGGCTCCGCCCGAAGGCCAACCCCTGAGGCCCGCGTCTGTGTGTCGGCATGGCCCTTTTCGGGGTTGAGTGGTATCCTTGTTCCCCCGGATATGCCTGTACCCTATATAGCCCCCCAAAACACCCCCCTAAGACCATAACCCAATGTGAAGACCTGCAGGCACTACCCGGGTCATCCAAGGGCACTCCAACGGTCTGTTTTGAAAGGCAATCGATTAGAAACGACAGCAGTCCATGAAAGCTAAGGCCACAACAGTGTCGATTGCCCCCGCTTGATACTCCCCCGTTGAAACTGACTCGACTACTCTCGCAGATTTGGGACCCCCTGGGCGTGCTCGTCGGTGTTGTTGTAGGTGCGGTCTTCCTCTTCTTTTTCTTTTTCTTCTTCATGGTAGTGGAAGCCGGGTCAGGACTGACCGGTCTCGCTCTTGTTGAAGAAAGGGCTCGAGTGGCACGGCGCTATGTCTCTTTCTCTCTTGCTTGGCAACAGGTCTAAGACGAGGGCATTCCCCCCCGTCCTCGTACAAGGAGCCCATACGTCCAGTCTGTCTCTCTCTCTCTCTGGCTCCTCCGTCCCTGACTTTCACCTTACCTGCTTGCAGCAGCTCTGCCTGTCCGCTCGTACCGTCTGAGCGAAACCACCTGCCGGGGCTTCAAACGTACACTGCAACGGCGGGTTGCAATCTTCAGCTGCTTACACTACGGTTATCAGGTGTGGTGTAGAGATTCAAAATCCAGACCGGCAATCGTCAAGATCGTGTTTTAACGGAGGGTGCAAGAGTCGGAGCCGTGTCCCATTACATAATATACATTGGCCGTTTCCAACAGGGCTGCAGGGCTCTGACCTTGCAGTTTGGTCACGAGTACCGTTCAATTGCTCTGTCGAGTTGCTGCCTCTCGTGCTTGCGCCACGATCTGCCCGCACCCGGTCGTCGCCCTTGGTACGATCCCACATGTGCAGCTGGGGTTTCCGTGGGGAACGGAAACCATTCACGGATTGTTCGGTGTGGCATTGTGAAAGAGCTGTTCAGCGCATTCCCCAAAGCATCTATGATCAAGAACCCGACAATCGAGGGAGGCCGCGTCTCGGCATCGCCACGGAGCCCACCTTGGCAAAGTCACAGGCAATTTCGGTTTCTGCAAGAAGAAACTCGAACGAGTCACAAGCGAATAGCCAAGTCGTCAACCAAGTAGCACCAGAATTGCTATGCAATGATGTGAACATCAGACTAGGCGAGACGCGAAGTCATCGTGGTTCAGGAATACACATAAACACGAGGTTGTGAAAGAGTGGTTGCGCTTCCCCGTGTCGGCGCATGCGCGCTTATCTGCTCTTCGTAGGGCTATGCGCCAGCATAGTTGTTCTTGGCATGGCCACCATGCTATACTACAGATGAAGAGAATTCTGAAGATAAGAATAGGTGCGAAGCGTGTTTCCACACTCGCTCTTGTGGTCATTCTTTGCTTGATGCAGCATCTTCGATATCATCTTCAGTCTTCATCACAGTCAAGTGGTCATCATTGCCACCATCACCACCAGTAATTGCCCTGCTCTGCGCCTGCTCAGGCCACTCAGCAGCAGCCGATCTGGGGACCGGCCGAGTCAGGCGGCTGATGAAACACGTTTCTTTGCGCTGCATTGTCTGGGTAGGAAATGTAAACAGCTATGGTACAACGGAACATCTGAACAGCAAGACTGTAAAGAACTTGGTAGCACCATGCTTGCAGCTGCTTTGTGCAGCTGGGACTGGCAAGGCGGCAGGCAGCTAAGCGAGCAAGCGCCCACAAAACCAGATTCTGTGTAAGTTCCAGCTTGCAAGTTTAAAGGCTCAATGTGCTGAACACTGACGGGTCATGTCTGCTAAGCCTGACACAACATTGTTTTTTGAAAATTCGAACAGATGAACAAACTCATCTTGAGCACCAGATATCAGGCGATGTTGCCCGGGTCCTGCGGTTTGCCACGCCAGTGTGCCAACAGTCAACGAGTGTCCAGGGAGGCCGAGGACTGCGCGGATGTTTCCATGAACATCGATGATCTCCTCATCGCTGCCTTGGCTTCCGACCACACTGGCTTCCAAATGCTCGATCTCCTGTGTCAGTTCACGTACTTCCTCGAGATCTCCCTCACCTGCATGTACAAGCTCAACGGCAATGTCTCGTCGTGCTTTCAGGTCGGTTAGAAGATCAGTAATCCTGATGCCATCTTCGGTGCCGGACAAGAATGCCCTTGCTCCCGAAGGGTCAAGTGCCCACAGCCGAACACTGCTGTCGGAAGTGCCTGAAGCAAAGAGCTGCCGATCCGGGGACACGGCAAGGCTCCTCACACAGGAAGTGTGACCCATGTATCTAGCCATTGGAAGGTCATTTGGCCTCCGGATGTCCCATCGCTTGATGCAGAAGTCATCACCCGCAGTGAGCAGCTCGGTGTCGCCACACCACACTGCATCATACACGGCGTAGCCAGCAGCTGCATCGGGAATTTCTGCCATCACACATGATGCCATGCTTGATGTGTTATGGTCGAAGACAACAACACGCCCATCTCGTGAGGTGCTGCACACCCTGCGTCCGTCATGGTCGATCTTGATGGATGTCACATGGCTTTCGTGCATCGGCCAAGTAGTGATACAAGTCCCGGTCTCTAGATCGTGCATCCCTATTGAACCATCACCGGATCCTGCCAAGGCAATTTCGTTCGCAAGAGAGCAAGCGGCAATAGGACCCTGCTGCATAAACGGCTGCTTGACTTGCTCCTCGCCCATGTCCCAGAGGTATAAATTCTCTGCCTTGCTACCAAGTCCTACCAGGATTCCGGCACCACCGGGATACGCATCCATACAGTATAGAGGCGTCCCGACAACGCTACATTGTCTGATGGGCTCATCGGCGTGGTTCGCAGCGTTGAAAATAAGCAGCTTCCCTTCCGAAGTGGCGGCGAGAAACTGACCGTCCGCAACCCATCGAAGTGTTTCGACGGTGGCATGGAAGTGGTTGCTATACTTCGACACAGCGGCGTAACTCTGCGGCATGGGGAAATGCTTTGCAAAGGACGGGTCCTGCTCCACACTGTTCCTGTAGTCGATGAACACAGCACTGGCTTCCGGAAGTAGCTCTTTGACCTTCTCTTGCGTACTGAGCATCGAGTACACAGTCTTGAACTGATCAAAATTGATCATGCCTCGCCTATCCGAGTCCACAGCATGGAAGACTTTTTTCAAGGTGTTCTTGCTGCATCGGATGCCCAAGTCTTTGGCAACTGACGCCAGTTCCTCCAGCCGGATCTCACCACTGCCTCTCAAGTCGATCTTTCGAAAGGCTTGGATCAACTGCTCAGGATCGCCAGTGGACGTGTCGTCCTTTTTGGCCTTCGCCACGGCCTTTGCCAAGCTCGTTGGCGACGACATCCGTCTGCAATTGCGCCGGCCCGCCCGGTGAGCGCGGAGCTACCGACCCAAGCAGTTGTTTACATGGAAGACAACCAAGCTGCATGTACATTGACATGCTTGTGCCCGTGCACATGCCATGGACATCCATGCACTCCATGCCCAAATCCGCAGGCAGATCTTGAATCCACAATGTGTCATGATGATGAGTCTCAGGGGATTTACAATGCCACTGGCTGATCGCATGCTCCAGCTTCCAATTCGAATCTCAGGAGCTCGGTGTCATGTGTCGGAAACTGGACACAACAAACATACAAGTGAAATGCTGATGGAAGCAGTCTGCTGGGCTCTGCACCGCTTTTTGCACTGGCAAAAGACGGGACTGCCTCAAGGCAGCAAGGATAGTCCTCTCTGAGCAGTCTGAAACGAGTGCTGAGACTGCCGCCGGCAGCTCTGAGGTCTCCCTGCGGGGCGTACGGGCCTCTGTGGCTGCAATGCAACTTGTGACTTGTGGAAGCTTGGGGCCATAGACGGCCGGAGCACCGAGCACAAGCACATCTTTTTCCTCCTCCCGCTTCGCTTTTCCGCTCCTCCTCAGTCGTCCAGCAACTCGGCGACTTCCTCCGTGAACAGGTGCAATGAGGCTAAGGACGGAAAATCTAATGTCAACAGCCTGCTGATTCCGATTCTGGTCAAACCCGGCTGGTGCCCCAGGCAGCCACACTTGTTGTCCGCCGGGCGAAGCATCGTATACACAAAACTTTACTGCAACCTCCTCATACATATCCGAAAGTGTGCTAAAAGCAGGGAGATGCAGCTCCTCCACGGATTTTCGCTTCTTTGGCGCAGGGGGTGCCTGAATGCTGGTGGCATTCAGCAAAGCCTTCTGGTTAGGGCAAGGTATGAATTGTGTTACACACTATCACTGCGATAGCAGTCCTTACACGTCAGCCAGTGCCACAGCCACAGCTATGAGTACGCAATTTTCATTTTGTCCATCAGGCTTCGTGAACAGGTTCGCAGCGCGGAAAACACAATGCGTGACACCCAAATCGCTGAATGCCAGCTCAAAGCGTTTACACCTAAAACCGCAACGCACAAACTCCAGAGCTCCGAAAGGTTACTGTGTAATTAAGGTCTTCTTCAATAGGCTCATGCTCACTCTTGACACTCTTGCGTCTCCCAGCCTCCGGCAGGAGCTCCACCAGTGCGGCGCTGGTGTAGGCATTGAAGCAAACGCTGTTGACCTTGGTTTCTAAGTTGGAGGGCCTTTCAGGTCCTTTTACTAAGAATGCCGCATTTTGAGTGCCTATATGTGCCTATATTGGATCCCTTGTTGTCTGGAACTCCTAGTTCTGCTGCCGAGCATGCTGAGATGAGTGCTATGACAGGAGCACAACTCAAAATCAACCACAATTTGGCGAATGACTTTACCAGCAAAGCAGGACAGAAGGATCCTCCGTCTGAGCAGTGCGAAGAAGGTGGCCAGGGTCTGGAGAAGCTACACTTTTTTTGCGGACCTTGAATTCTTGGGAAAGGTGCTGAACCCAGAAGACAGCTGTAAACATGTCGAGACCATCTGGTTAAGCGAAAACATGTGGACGAAAGCCCAACGGCATGTTGCAGTTGTTGCTTGTGTTTGCGGACACGGCATCCCTAGCTAAATGGAGCAAGCCGTGCACAGCGCCTACACGGACGAATTCCTCGACACGGCCATCCCACACACTACGGCATCAAGCCTAATGAAGCAGTGAAAGCAAAAGCCTATGTTTGGCTGCCATCACCCCCGAGGATCGTATTGCAGTTGAGGCCGTGGCAAGAGGCGGATCTTTTCGCGTTATGGCCTGCAACATCTAAGTCACTCCCCGGCTCATTCCGATGAAGGACAATACCTGCTGCAAGCACCTCACGTCGAATGAAACCCAAAACTGTCCAGGCCCTTCTTAACGTCAGCACTGTCACATGAGAACTGACATGCTATGCGAGCGCATTTCTGTGTATGCGATGCCACCACACGTTCTGCAAAATGAAAGTATGTCGTTGCAGGCAAGCATCCAAAAAATAAAGTACATCAGACATCGGAATCTAACTGAGCAGCATGTAACAGTGGATTTTTGCAGTAGTGGTGCGCGTGTCTGTTGTGTGTGTGTGTGCGCGCGTGCATGCATCCGCTCGTAGTCGACAAGAATAATTGAGCATACCTCAAAGTGTCAGAGTAAAGCTGAAAATAGCACCGGCTATACTAGGCTAGCATGCAGCATTACATGGGCCTTGAGACGGGTCGTCCTAATTTAGGATCCCTTCTGGTTTGAGGGTATGCCACTCGGTTGCGACATCCGCAAAGGGACCCTAACTTGCAGAACCACCCTGATTCATCCAAGCATCAGGCATTTAAGAGTAGTCTACCTATACCGTTGCTATCCTCAACGGGGTGTAGGGTCTAAGGCGTGCATCATAGCGTCCCATCGCCTTGATGACCTCCTGGGACAAGAGCCCGCCGAGCACCGAGGCCACATGAATGAGTGGCTCCACGAAGAAGTGGCCAAAGACCTCCGGGGTTTGGGGATAGTCGGGGGAAGTGTGACGTTTAAGCTTTACGGCTGTGGGGTAACCGGATGTAGGTTCAGACGGTTTAGGTTCGGACATGCCAGGCGAAGCGGCCTAGTCTTGGCCTGGTCCGACGACACTGTCTGTGAAGGTGCTTTTCCCGTGCACTGGCTTAGATTCAGGGTGCGTAATAGAGCCGAGCTTTTTCACTGCCTGGTTTTGAGAGTCGGTCGTACTTGCTGTTGGGGCCTCATCAGAAGAAGAACGACAACAACAACAACAACCACAACCACGACGACGACGACAACAGCAGTAGCAGTAGCAACAACAGCAACAGCAGTTGCGGGAACAGAAGCGGCAGCAGCTTCAGCATTCATGGTAGCAGCATAAACTCAACTAGCAGTCGAAGCCTTGGTCGTCATTATCGCTACAAGAGAAGGGGCAGACTAATTAGTCGTCATTATCGCTACAAGAGAAGGGGCAGACTAATTACTCAAACCATTTTTGATAAACAAGTACTCATCCCTCCGAGCCTCCTTCATAGATGGTATGCCATCAACAGATGGCTGACACTTCACCTTGCAGAACAAGACAACAAGTTACATTCGTCTGGAGGTCGCGAGAGAACACGGGGATTTGGCAAGAACCTTGTTTGGTGCTGAGACTTGGAGCCCTGCAGTACCACCTTGCGTGTCCAACAGATATGTACTTGCCACCTGTGACATGTCTATGAAAATGAACGAGCCATCTTATCTATACATATCATATCATATGTATATATATATGTGTGCATGCTTCATATAGACATGTGTGTATATCCGCATTGGCCTTCCTACTCCAGACGTGGTTGCTTATTACGTGCATGATTATTATAGAGATCGACTGATCAGTGAACCGATCAGCACGAGTGTGTAATGTCACTCACACATATGGAAGCATGTACTAAGAGAGGGCATTGTTTTCAGTGGCAGAAAGACGCATGTAGGTAATTAGAACTAGCAGAGTAGAACATGAGTCCCTACATGCATGTCTTCTTGCCAGCTTCTTCCCTGATTTGCTTCGCATGCTTCTCCCTGCCCCTAGTTTTGGAGCATGTCTGCTTCAAGTTAGGTAAGTTAAACTGCTGGTGCGTTCAAGCGTTTTGCGGTTTTCTAGGTGGATACTGATAAGTGACAAAACCGGCACTTGACGATGGCGCGAGAGTTTCGGGTAGTTTCATATGCCTCGCCGTCCTCCTTGCAAGATCCAAGTTGCAGTGTCTCGGCAGTGGGCCTCGAAGTCCGATGCGGCACTGGGCGTTGCTTTGCCTCCCGTCACAATGCGAGGTGGTGACATGCTCCAAGCAAGGACCGCGTGCAGAAACGCTACAGTAACCATTGAGCATGAGTCAAAGCCGCCCCTCGACCTCCACTTCGGAGGAAAGACGCAAAGAGGCCAATGAGCTTGAAAGAGGCATCGCACTTCCTAAGCTTTGTTTCGGCTTGGCTCCGTCTCTCATCCGGAGAAGAGGCCTGCCCGGAGTGAGCCTTGGCCTTGTTCGTTCACTTCCCGTGGGCTTCGTTTGGGGACTTCGTGCAAATCATCGTCGCATCGTGTTTAATGCCGGGAACGTCAGAAGGACAGTCCTAATGGGCGCAATCGCAAGACTTGCCTTACACCGAGGCTTTGTGGTGCAGGCCAAGGAGCCCATGCAGCATTCGCGGTATGCCGCTCAAGAAATGACCTGGCAAATGGCTGAACCAACGATCACGACTCACAAATCTTCCTGTGTCGAGTACTGTACTCTTTCCCGAGCATGATGGAATCAGCATACACCTGGCATTCTACGGTCTTGGCACTAGCTTTGGCCCAGCTGCTGAATGGAGGGAAGCTGAAGTTCTCTGGGTCCTGAGGTCCTTCGGCTGGCGCGTAGGCTCGCTGATCTTGCTCGAACTGCTAGGAAAGGTCGGTCTCCAAATCAACTTATCCTGGATTATCCTGGTCTCCGGCTCCGTCGCCGCATGCGTATCAGAGGAACCGAAGTGTCGGGAAGTAGTGCTGCCACAACCACGTCATGCAGCATTATTGACGCCTTGGGGACTGGGAGTTTGACAGATCTTGAAACGGTCCTGAAGTCCTGACGAAAACGTCGGAAGTACGAATGTCATGTCCGCGTCCCTGCGTCTTTCCGGCTCCGTCCTGCTGATTCTGCTGCGCCTTGGGCTGAACTTCGCTCCTGGTTTCGCAATGCTTGTGAGGAGTAACACGGTGGATGAAGACATGGTGGATCTGCCCTTGATCGGCATGAGCAACGCGCCTGCATAACATGCTCGTTTTGATCTGAGAAGAAGAAGGCTATCTCGCCCGCTGCGACAGTCAGAATAAAGCCTGCACCTTCCGGCACTTCAGAATGACAAATAAAGTTCAAAGTCCAACGTGCAACCTTTCAGCTTTGGAGAAGTGCTTCGGAAACTGGAGACCCCTACGAACATGGACGGTCTGCAGCTCCCCAGCAAACTCAGCATGTAAGCATCCAAGCTGATCAAGACGACTTGGTTCTCCGCATGAGCCCAGCCGAAGCCGAAAATGGAAAAGCGTAACAAGCGGATGCGAGGCCTAAGCTTCTGCACGCCGCATCCAGGCTGGACGCAAGCTCGAAGTCGTAGCCCAGCACGCTCAAGCCAACGATAACAATGTCAAAGCCCTTCACAAGATCCTGCGGTGCTGGCTGACGGGAAGAGATGACATGCAGAGTGGACGGCGTACCGGCCCAAGAGCTACAGAAGGCTATGTAGCTTTCCGATCCACCAGCTAGCTTGCGGCCGGCAGCTGCCAGAATGATTGCAGAAGGTCACACACAGTAGAAGAAATCTCTGTGTGTGTGTACTCTTTCTTGGACTTGTAACAGCTTCTTCAGTGACACATGCGGGAGGCACAAATCACCGTCGTAAACGTCACGACGAGCTGGGCAACTCGGAAATGCACCCCGCAGAAAAGATCCATCCTTTCGAAACTTCTGTAACAGCTGCACTGGTGCAGAAAGCAATTCTGATGTGCGCACTACCGCTGCAGGCGCCTTAAGCTTTGCTTCGTCGCTGCCGGTCTCTGCCCGATCGCTGCTGCAAGAGACAGTACAGAGCCTTGCAAGGAAGTTCCAAAGCGCAGCAAACTGATCCCTATCTGCTCGGAGAGTCAGCAGCTAAAAGCGGCTTTGAGAGCGATACATCTGGAATCCTTGACAAGTGCTCTGAACATCCTTGGAAGCTTCAGACTTCAGACTTCCAGCAGTCTCAATCTGATTGCCGTCCGAAGTGCGGGTTCATCTCTTGAACCTGTGCTTGGCTTGCAAGGCCAGGAGTTGGGTTGCAAGGCTTACTGGGTCCGGTCTTAATGTGAGAAAGGCACAGCAACTGATCCCAGAGGCAATGCAGTGAGACATCCCGTGCAAACTCGCCTGGTGATACCTACACTGCTGCTAGTGTCCAAGCCTCCCAGCTAGCAAGTACCTCATGCAGATCTGCAACCAAACCAGACGAAGACGAGACTCCGAGTTCGATGTGTTAGTTCCTTGTAGCCAAGCTGCCCTCTTCGAGGCGCAAGTGGCCCTTGACTGTCCCAGGTCCTCCGGCCGAAGGAAGTAGTTGAAGCCTCGGGCTCAGCGACGGCACGGGAAATGACTGATGGAGATTACGCATCTCTGCCGACATGTCTTTCGTGATGCACAACGTCTCTCATCTGGCGCAAGTTTGGCTATCCCCTTCGCCGCTTGGCGCTCAAAGCGTGCTACCTAATTAGTGATTCGACCGATGAGCCCTTGCAAAAGCGTTTCGGGATGGTCTGTGCTGTCTGTCTGCAGTGCGTGCATTGCCACTATGTGCATCTACTTCCGTTGGGCAGCTCGCTTCCATGCTGGTTCAGACGAGACCAAAGCTGAGTCCACTTCATGCCAAAAGTCATTGTATGAATATACAACTGCACAAAGTGCTTTCGATTGTTCTTCGTTCGCCTCATGCCCCTCTAAATCCAAGACCCAGTGTGCGGCCCTTTCCTGGCAGAACTGGTGCCTCTTGCACTGCTGAACGAGTCGCTAGGGAACTAGTTGGAAGGGTTTTCTACCATCGGCAACGTGTCCTGGAGCGGAGCCGATGCTGCTGAATGATGTCTTGCAGCCCTTCTTGTCAAGAGCGACTCGTCTCAAATTTGCGCATACAATGTGGACCCAAAAGCACCTGCTTGGAGGGAAGAGCCGTTGGTAGGCTCGTCAAACAGGCTCCTAGGGTACTAGACTTGGGAGTCTTATTGCCGGTAGCGAGCTTTCAGTGAGACGTTTCCAAATAACCAGACCTGACATCAAAACCCCTGCAAGCGGAGGCAACAGTGCCTTAAACTTCGAACTGAACTACGTGCTGCAACTTCTGTAAACCTGTACACACCGAGACTTTGCAGACCGTCCTGCATCCGAATGGTCGAAGCTAGAAACGCTGTGCGTGAAGGTAACTCCTTTCTCCCTGGTCAGGTCCGACGCTCTAGGATAAGAACACGCTCAAGCCATTGCAAGGAGATGCTGCCAGAATGCCTTCACTGATTGCTGGGGCCGCCTGGAATGCGTTTCCTGTGTCAAACTCTGAAATCTCACCGTGTTCCGCCTCAAGCTTCCCATCTCCGTTCTGGTCATAAAAGCGGTAGACCTTCCCTGACATACCAGCCACAAAAACGGCGCCATCTCCTGCGATTGAGGGATTTGCATATGAGTCCGGCAAACAGGTGTGTTGTGGAGTGTCGCCGGCTGCTCCTCCGTGCCAGTCAGGCAAGTCGTATTCCCACAGAGTGTGGCCATCAAGCAGATCCAAAGCCACTACCTTGGAGGGATGACGATGATCCGGACTGTTGTCAAAGGAGTCCAGGTCCAGCACCTGGCCTTGAGGCAGAACAAGGGAAGGGTTTGTCCCGATGGCGGCCACTACGAATGGATGCTTCCCGTGTGTTGTAACTGCCGGACCAGAATTGGCCGGAAACTTGGGGAAGGCCCGTCGCCACACAAGCCGACCATCTTCTACTGAGTACGCTGACACTAATCCAGTGCCCGTCGGCGTGTTCTGCCCTTGCATGTTGCTGCTCACGTAGGCCAGTCCGTTGCTAGCACCTGTCAAGCCCCCGGTCGACCCTGCAGGCGAGCTTGGAGCGGGTATCTTCCAAACAACGGAGCCGTCCCTGAGAAGGAGTCGGTAGATGGCCCCCAGCGTGTCAGAGAAGAGAACAGATCCGTTCTGAATGGATCCAATCCAATTATACATGAGCATGTCTGGACGGAACTTCCAAAGCACGGCTCCACTTGTCGCATTGCATGCAACAACGGTCGTTGCTGCGTTTATCTTGGCATCCCGTATCTCCAAGCATGAAGCGAGCACCAAACCTTCACCGGCAATAATACTGTGGGTATCTCCACTTGCCATGCCACAAGCCCTGGTCTGCCACAGAAGCTTCCCGTCATCGGAATTTATAGCAGTCATCTGACCATCCACGCGAATTGTGTACAGGACACCTTCCATGAGCACCGGGTTACCGGGCAACGAAATTCCAGATGTAGTGAAGTTCCATAAGACATCGCCTGTCCGTGAGAATTTGAAGACTTCACCATCAATGGTTGACTGGTAGATGTCACCCTTGGAATCTATGACCGGCGATCCCCTCACAACCCCTCCGTTTGGCGCGGTCCACGACCAAGACGGACCTGCAGACAGGGATGTAGGTGGGATCGCGAATGTGGAACCCGACCTGATCTTGTTCCCACCTTTCCCGATCCACTCCGAGTAGTCTTGTGCACTCCTTACTGACATCTGGTATTGCAGCAGCTGAAAGTGCAAGCTGGAGTCAACTTCGCAACCCCAAGGAGCGCAGTCGCGGTGCTGAGAGGTAACAGTCAACGCGATGCAGAAGAGGGCGATCAAAGCAAGAGCCATGGCCGCAGGTCGAGGGAACGAAAAAGGACTTCTGCGGTTCAGTAGCTTAGCCGAAAGCCTTTAGGCCTAGACTCTAGGCAGGAAGTCCAGCAGCGACCCACGTCACAGCACATCGGGTTCCGCTTCGAACGAAAAAACGAAAAAGGAGCATTCTGCTGAGGTCACAACCGACGTCCGCGGCTCCAACTGTACGGTGATCCCTCAAGGTCAGCGAAATTCCTCCCAAAGCAACATCAACATCCCCTTGCTGCGTTCTACTGCTAGGGAGAAATCTGCAATCGTTTCCTAACTTTCTGCACATGACATTGTCTCGAGGTTGCAAAGGGCCATGAGAGTCTTGAGTCTTGAGCTGGACATAAGCTTCCCCAGAGAGTACAAGGCCTTCTGTATGCCTACCGCCAGCACGTGTCCACTGAAACCCCATGCTCCAGGCGAGCTTAGTTCTCGACTCGCCCTACTTATCGGTGCCACTACCATCGTGAACCTCACTACAAAAGCAACGGCAACGTTCGCAACGGCAGCAGCCATTACTCCCCCCCAGTATAAGCCACGCCCCCTCCCGGCAATACAAAGAGCAAGTTTTCCCTGAAATGTGTGTTTTCCCACCCGCCCAGCTGACTAAGTCGCACCACAGGGAACTTGTCCGAAACAAACTCAAGAGTGGGGCAAGACCAAGGACCTATGCTGTTCCCCTCAAGAAAGGCCAAAATGGGTTTTAGTATTTGGGTTCTGTTTTAGCATCTTCACTTATGTCCTAGAAATACTTGGAACATTCTTTGGGAGGCCGCAGACCCTGCAATCCTACGTTCCGTCTCATTTAAATCTGCTCGTGGCGTTTTTTGAACTCCTCTTCGGGCGGATTCCGGCAAAAATGCCCTCCCGGGATAAGGTTTTATTATTAGGGTGGTCTTTACTAATCAGTTACTAATGCGAGGAGGAAGGGTGACTATGACAATTCCTACTTTGCTACAAACTACTGCCTTTACATCTACCACGACCAGTACCAAACATGTCGCCACCGCCACGATGAAGACGGCATAATTACTACTGCTGCTGCTGCTGGTTGCAGCTCAGGGCTTCATGCCATAACTTCACTGTTGTTAGAATTCACCCTTCGAGACTGCATCCAAAAGCTAACGATCTTGCAGCTTTGCGCCTGCCAGCACCAAGTTCTTGCAGGCTTCCACATTGCTACCCTCGAGGCCCCAGATCAGGACCTGCAATAGTCACGTAGGGTGAAAGCTAGACTGACCTTCATCTGGGTAGTGCCCGCCTTGGCGTTGAGTAGCCTTTGCTGTGCTTGGACACCCCAAAGGCGAAGCTGGCCTCAGCTGCAACCCGGGGCCAGAGTGTGCCCAAGTCACACCTAGGCATCTGCAACTTACCTGCGTAAAAACTGTAAGACCTCGGCGATCATACACAGCCACCTGGTCCCCGGTGATGGCTGCCATGCCCTGCCGCTCTCTGTCGCTACTACGGCTCTGACACTTGCCGACAAAACAACTACGCTTCTTGGAAATCTTTTCGATGCTTTTCGTTAACTCCTACACAAGCCTGGCACTGCTTCACGACTTGGGGGTTTCGCAACTCGGCAGTCCTCAGGACGGCCTATATATAAGTCTAACCACAACCAAGAGGTGAAAAATGTAGCTCCCGCGGTAAGGCAGCGTTAATTCATGAGTCATGAGTCTTCTGCTTCTGGGTTCTCGCAGACCTCCAGTCCGCGCCAGTGGCAGGCTTGGCAACCGGCTGAGCAAAACTGGAACTGCGGCAAGCAACAGCGTCCCACGGCGCCAGAACGATAAGATCACAGCCAGAAATACTCAAACGACCCGGCTCATGCCAACCCGGCCCACCCCTCGATCCTTCAGGCTTCAGCATCGAGGCTTGCTGATAGGAACTGCAGGTCTGTCCACTCTGAACTGACGGTCCAGCGGTGTCGATGGCTAAGGCAGCTAAGGCTCCCGACGGACTGCGGAATTGGCAGCTGCGAGGTCTCCTGCTGCATATTCCACACTGCTGCTGCTTGGTGTGGCAGTCGGATCTTGTAATTGGAGGGTTAGCTTGCAAGTGGCTGGTCCCAACCTGACACAGTTCAGCCGATACTTCAGCCGATTGCTTGTATGCACGTCAATTCGAAACTTTTTCTGGACTTCTCGACTCGATGGTACAGCTTCGGCTTCAGGGAGTTGAGGGTTTATGGAGTCGTACATGCGAGTTCCACTGAGTCATCTTCATGAGCTTCGATGCAGCGCAGACACGGCCACAGCCGCGGCCTCAGCGTCGCGGGCCGCCCGACCTTCTCAAAATTGGTTGGAATGGTTCGGCTCTTCACCGGAGGTCGAGACTTCGGGCTGGACTCATTTCGTGGATTTGGGGCAGTTGCATGTAACAGGAAGAGGCCCTAGCCTAGAGAGAAGTTTGCAGAGCTAACTTTCTACTTCCAGGTTCTCTGAAGGACCCATAGGTCAGCGTGGCCTACTAGGCCACTAAAAGCTGAACAAGACGAGGGACTTCTAGAAAAGCATAACAAAGCTTCAGGGGCCAGAGAATCAATGGAAAACAGTAGCTGAGAAACTTTGGATGTCCCGTTCGTGACATCTGGTGTCTTGTGGAACTCTTATGTAGACCCTCGACATTTGTATGCAGGGCTCCTGTCTGACGTGGCCTGAAAGATTATTCACCGACAATCCGTTTACAAACCCGTATACGAAGTAGAAAACTATACCCCCAAGATGGGTCCCATGTGTCACCCCGAGCTCATGGGAGAACGCTGGTGTGCATAAACTTTGCCGCACTGCGCTCCTCCATCTGATGCATAAAACCTGTGAACAGGTGGGTGAAACGACTGATTCAATGAAACTTGGTTCTTGCGCGCCCACTTCGTCGAAAAACATAAGCGCTTCGTGAGGATGGCACCACCACTATACACACTCGACCTGCTGCTTGGCAGCCATGGCACTCGCTACGCCATGCTGGTGGGCTGCGGTTTCTTTCAACACATCCGATACGTGACAGCCGGTCTCCATCACGGCATGGTCTCACGACGGGAACATTGTCACAGGCTAAACGATGGGGTAGGCCTTGCAATTCCGGACGGTTTGCCCGAAAATGGCATGCTGAAGTGGACTCCGTAGTTGCATCGCAAGCCCTGCCTACAGGATCTTGTGAACTTCATGCATGCAACTGTCAGGTACTTGTACTGTGCCTTGTCACCATCGATCACAAATCCCTCACCTGAAAAGCGACACAACTGAAGGGAAATAAGCGCAGTGCTTCACAACAGCCTGACACAATGTTCTGTATTCTGTATATGGTCATGTCATGTTGATCACGCAGATATTGCCACTCCACTTCGCAGCCGAGAAACCGTCTGCGAGCTTTATCACCTCAGATGATTGGTGGGCAGGTCAAGTGAGCCGCAGCGGCATGGTTCCCAAGTGCACAAATGACGAAAGCTTTTTCACGGACTGCGTGAACAATGTCAGTGCTCGCCAGCATCATAGGCTCTGACGAAAGTGGCACGACAGTGCCCAGCTACGGCACTAAGAGGGATCATGCTTCACCTCCGCTATCTGTAACGTTGAAAGCTTGAAGCCCAAGTGTGCAGTAGGCCGTTACAGTACATAGGGTGTCACTAGACAGCCTACATACCCCAGAAGAGTCACATCCTGGCATCAAAAGCACCTCGTGATCTGTGTGTCCGTGCTTCTTCGCCTGCGCTTCCTGCCAGGCAGTCCTGTTGGCGGCGGTTTAGCGGAGTGATTAAGGGGTATCGCTGCGGGCGTAATTTTCTCTTCATTGCCAGGCTGGTAGAGCGGATCAACACGGGGTGTAGAGTGCAGGAGTTCTCAAAGCCATGACCACTGCAGCGACCATGCCGCATGCTTGTATGGGTTTCCAACTTTCGCTTCCTCCAGGGCATTCGTGATAACGCAAACAACACCAGATCCTGCCCTGCTATGCCTTGATTTCGGCACCAGCCCTAGCACCAGACCTAGGTCCTTTCAGCGGCGACCGGTCCTGGCATACTGGCCGTTGGCGTGAGGGAAAAAGCTCCGTCCTCCACCCAGGTCCAGACCTTCTGCATGACGTGGGTCCTCCAAGCACTAAACAATTCCAGTCCCGACCCTTCATGGGTTTTGGCATGATACATTGGTTCGGGACATAGAGCTTCTGCAGAGGATCCAGGGCAGGATAAACAAACACGCCAGCCAAAGCCAGGCTTAGCCTTCGAGGAAGACCTCCTAGTCACGACACTTACCAGTGCAGGCTAGGTTCTGCTGTCTGACTTCTGTTCCTGAAAGACGACAAGCAAAGCATGAAATACACATCGCCTGGCAGGGTCTCTTTTTGGACGAACTCAATTCCGATCTCGTGTGGAACCCACAACCGATCAAAGCTGGCGACTCCATGAGAGTGCTCGGCACATGGCCGGATATGCTAAACCTCAAGGTTTTCAGGAAGCCAGCAATTTGGATGTCAGATTTGCAGGGGCCTCCAGGCACTCAGGCCTTCTCTCTCTCCTACCGGTATCGGCTGGCTTCCCGCATCGCGAACTTCAAAAATGTTTATGTCCGGCTTTGGACACGCAACCACGTGCACAAAGCCGGCGTAGCTTCGAGAAAGCGGGCGAGACCAATGTCCCCGTCAGATGACAGTCTGCAAGGTGAACAAGGATAGCAGAAAGTCAAGTGTTGCAGTTGGCTCCAACAGAGTATTGACTCGGCGGCAAATCACGGAGAACGCGCCGCATGTTCCTTCAAGACTTGACATCACGTCGCCAGGGCAAGTGCCCCTTCCTGCAACTCTCTCCGCAAGAGCCCCGACTCAGGAGTCTCACTGTACTCGCCTTCGACCATGGGAGGGAAAACATGGCGGCATGGGAGGACGCAGAGACGGACACACTTGTGCAACGACATCTCGCATGTCAACAATTCGGAACTATCACTTCTGCCACTCAAGGCTCCCGTGGCACATGCCCCACTAGTCAGGCTTGACAAGACTTGCCACGCGACAAAGTGCGGCGGCAGATGGAACATCTGTCTGAACGGCATTTCGCCAAGCGGAACTGGGATCAATCAGCGGGCGTCTTGCACAATCCTGCAACATCTCTTCAGAAAGCTATCCTCGAAGAAACTGCATGTCCAGCAAGACACCTGCCTGTTTCAAACTTTGGAACAGAAAATCATTAGGATTTGACCTCACTCGGGCATCAGTTAACCAGAGTCAACCATCAGCACCTGGAACCGTTCACCCACTGGCTGGGCGAACTCGGGCGAAGCAACTCCGGCAAATGACCTGTCATAGCAGGCCGAGTGGGGCAGTGGAACATCCATGATTCTGCGACCGAATATAGCGTAAGATTGATGGATTGTGAGACATGCAGGAAGAATAAGACTGCGACACTGCATTTCAGCTCTCTGTCTCTTCCCTCCTTTCTGGGGCATTCCGGCTCTAGGTTGACAGCATCGATCTTCGAAAGCTTGCGGGTCGGAGCAGTTGGCCTCAGCTGGCGCTGCCATCGGCCGCGGCATCTGATGCCTGCACGTTCACCTGACGCCGAATCATGCAGACATATGAACCAAGCTGCACGTTGAACGGCTCATGACGAAGTCTTCTTGCATCAAGACGTCTCGCTGGCCTTCCCTTGCTTGGGTTCTGCCTTGGCATCAGCTGATAATGTGCCCGGTCTCAAAGTTTCCTGTAGCAGCAGTAGTCACACGCAGTACCAAATAGCAGAAGATTGGTTGACAAGACTATCTTAGACGGCACCATAGCGGAGCTGTGTCCGAGACCGGCAACACAAGAATCCAAAATCCAACCAACTGTTATGGTAAAGCAAGATAACGTAAAGCTTCTTGTAATTGTAGGTGTGACGAGGAAAGGCCCGAGGAAAGCTACGGGAATGACTGTGCTGAGTACTGGTGACTGCGTGAGTATACAAGCAAAAGGGCCACATGGGCGAGATTTCTGATGGCACGGTATGCGAAACTCAATCGGACCGGCTCCTTGACAGGCCGGGCGGCCTTTGGAATCGCATCGACCTACCGCAGATGCGCAACGAGAGATACAAGGAATACGAGCCACGAGCTCAGGAAGAACCGGTGCAGCGTTTCACGGCCCCGTGACAGCCATGCTGTTCAGGTCTGGCATGTATGAAGCTAGGAAATCGTAAAGTTGTAAAGTTCGGGATTGTATCTGTGACTGATCTACAGACAACCCTCACAGAATTACCGACTTGACAGAGAACCCCTTTACTCTGTTGGCTGCTATCCCCCTTCCGACTGTCAAACGATGTTCCTTTCTCCGGGGCATTCAACCATGGAATTGAGAGTGCACCCGTGGTGCGGCACCTTGAGCATGCACTCTGCCTTCGGCTTCGGCACCGGCACGGATCCCGCGACTATGGGTTCTAGCTCGCGTCGTGCCGGCTTCAGACCCCAAATCA